GAATCTAAGTTTCAAACACAGGCAAACTGATAAAGGACAATTGGGGCAGGATAGTTACTACCCAATAAATTTAGTAATTTTTAGTCATTTAAAAATAGCATTAAAGTAGAAAATGTAGATTCGTTTCTGAGGAAGAAGAAAAATAGGCTGAGAAATAATATATGGAGTGATACAATTTAAAAAGGTTTTCATTCTGTACTCAATTTCCATTCTTGTTTATATTCTAACAAATGTACTTTTCTATATTTATATATTCTGTCTACATTCAGAACCTGAATATGTTTACTTACTGACCAGTAGAATACATACACTTAAAACTTTAATAATTTTGAAACACGTCAAATTACATAACTGTAAGATATAGCAGATCACCAATTCACAACCATCTCTACCTTGGTTCATCTTTACATAAGTATTTGAGTTACTTTTAATGTCTCTTTAGGAGTTCATAAACTATATCTAGATCTCTACTACAATTTTCACAATTAATTAAGGTTATACCAGATGGTAACTCCATGACTATTTCAAAATAGCTATTCATAATTCATAAATTATCTTTATTCTTTGGCCCTTTAACTAACTGATTTGCACACAGGCAATAAATCCAACAGGAAATATTGTGAAGTATATTGTAAGAAGAAAGTTTTAAGATCATTAAGTAGTTGCTGTCCACTGGAAAAAAAGTAAATTTGCTGCATTTTTTAAATAACCTTAAACTCTGACACCAACATTGAAAGGCAGTGTAAAATTAATGGTTCAATACAAATCATCCTATATTAACAGTTAAGATCTAAGTTCCAGCTTGGCTCAGATGCCTGCTACACCTAAGACCCTGTGTCTTAGCCCACCTGTGTTAAGGAATACCTGAGGCTGGGTATATTTTTTAAAAAAAGATGATGATGAAGAAGCATATTTGGCTCACAGTTCTGCAGGCTGTACTGGAAGCATGGTGCCAGCCTCTGCTTGGCTTCTGGTGAGGGCCTCAGACCATTTCCACCCATGGCAGAAGGCAAAGGGGAGCTGGTGTGTGCAGAGATCACACAGCAAGAGAAAGGGAGCAAAAAAGAGAGGGAGGAAAGATACCAAGCTCTTTTAAACAATCAGCTTCCATCGAGGGACAAATAGAGCAAGAATTCATTACTGCAAGGACAACACCAAGATGTTCATGGGGGATCCGCTCCATGACTCAAACACCTCCACAATGGGGATCAAATTTCGACATGAGATTTGCAGTGGTCAAACTAAATATAGCACCATTTCTAAATCATTTAGGGTTTCTGGAAATTCAGCATACAATATTTAGTGAAAATTATCATATAATCAGAATATCTCTCCCCTATTACACAAACATCCACACCCAAAGCTATAGCTCTCCTGATACAATTATGTTCTCCATAACAATGGTGACTGTGTGTCCAACGCATAAAAAGAGTTTGTATGAGAAATAGCAACTTCAAGAATAAAAGGCCTAGCTTAACAAGAAGTAGCAAAATCTCCAAACTTGGGTTCCAAGTGGAATGATTCCAATTCAATTAAACAGATACTTTTTATTTAGTGCCCCAATGTCTATATGAGTGGAAGCATATCTCAGGTAGAGGAAAAGCTCAACAAGGCTGAGAGATGAGAAAAGACTTTGTATATGCAAAGCACAGAAAACACTAGTATTGCTACTTTTAAAACATGTGTGTGGCTGGGGGAGGTGGCAGTAGCCATAATTGTGGTGCCGATGCCAGCCATAACTAGGAGCAAAATTACACAGGGCTTTGCAGGCCTTATTAACAAATTTGGACCTCATCTCAAGAAGACTCAAAAGTCACTGAAGGGTCTAAGCAATGGTGTAGCATGATTCATTTTCCACTTTTTAAAAACTTATGCTGCAGGACACAGAATAGACAGCAAGTGTACAAGGTCGGAAACAAAGAAACCAGTTAAGAGACAGCTTTGGTAATCTGAAATGATGGAGGCCAAAATTAGAAGGCAGTGCAAGAGAAATTAAAAGTAAGTACTCTGAAGTCATTTACCTACATTCAAATCCCAGATTTTCCATTTACCAGGTATACAACTTTGAGCAAGTTGCTTCCTGCTATGGTTCGAATGCTACAAAAAGCATACGTTGGAAACTTATGCTGAACTGTTGTATTGGAAGCTGGAGCCTAATGGAGATGTATAGGTCATGAGGGTGGAGCCCTCATGAATGGATTAATGCTCATTATAAAAGAGCTTGAGGTTGCAAATTCCATCTCTTGCTCCCTCTTGCCCTCTCTTAACCTTCTGCCATGGGATGACAAAGCACAAAGGCCCTCATCAGATGCTGCATCATTCTTTTGGATTTCCCAGCTTCCAGAACTGTGAGTCAAATAAATTTTTGTTCATCACTTTACTCAGTCTGTGGTATTCTGTTATAGCAGCCCCAACAGACTTAAATACATATTCTCTCTACAACTCAGCTTATTCTTCCTATAATCCAAAGATAAAAATCTTCACGGAATTCTTGCCAAAGTACAAACAAAATAATATATATACATCAGTTAGCATGTTGCCTGGCACAGAATAAGAATGTGAATGTTTATCATTATTAATGCAACGTGAATAGAGTAATGAGAATATAACTAGAAGATGTTTAGGAGACAAAAATTTAGTTTAAATAAAAGAAAAAAGAGAAGTTTACAGCTTCTGGCTTACAGAGTAATCTATTTGATAAGATGAGAAACAGACTGCTGGAATGTTCTGAAGGTTTGAAGCAAAGGATAGTGTTTATTCTTAAATATATTGATTGTGAGTTCATTCTTGAATATATTGTGAGAGACATGCCAGTAGGCAGGCAAATATATAGATCTGAAATACAGGAACAGATCAAAGCTGGAGATCTGTGATTCAGAGAGACAGATAGTAAGTCCATGGGTGTTGAGAAGAAACCCTAGAGAAAGAATATGCACAGTGAAGAAATGATGACACTAGGTAGAACCTAAGGAACACCAACACTAAAAGGATATTGAGAGCAAGAGGCCAGATAAATAAGAATACTACTATATGATATGTGAAGAGCCAAAAGAAAGTGTCTCAAAGAGGGAGTATTCAACAATGTCAATAGTGCCAAGCAGTGAAACAAGAGGATTTGACAGCGAAGTATTTATTCACATAGTATGCATCAAGCATACTATGGTGCTAGACCATACTCAAAGGTGCTAGACCCTTGAGATACAGATGTGAATAAGAAAAGATCCTTGCACAAACAGACTTGTTGTGAAGATAGTAAACTAGCAAACAAATCAAATACAAATTGTAATAAGGATGGTCAGCAGAGAGTACCATGATAAGAGAGTAAAAGGAAAAGGCCAGTTTTAGGTGGGAGTTTCGGAAGGCATCTCTCTGAGGTAGAAAAATGTAAGCTGAAATCTGAGGCAGAAAAGGGCATGGTCAGAGAACTGAAAGGAGTTCCATATGGCTATGGCACAATGATGAAGGAAAGATGGAGAGAGAGAAGTTAGACCATGTTTGTAGATCATGCTCACAACATAGAAGAGTTTAGATCATGACCCATTGAGCATCTGTAATCAATGAAGCTAAGATCACTCTAGCTAATAGTAATTAACAGTTTGGCTTTCCTCATTATACTAATCTTAATAATCAGAAATAGGACATTTTACTACTGTTTCAACCATTAACTGTTTATTAAAATAATATCAGAATAAGCTTTTCTATCTTAAAAAATACTACATGGTTACAAACATGTTACCTATTGCATTAATTTTACTAATCCCCATCTAACCTTCCTCCATATTTCTTTCAAAGATATTTGTCATAGTATCTGTTTGAGTCCATCAAATGTCTCTAAGGTACTCACTCATTTTCAAGCAATGTATATCAGAGTTTGAATGTTTTATAACAACATGACTAAGTGAGATGTTGCTAAAATGTGTATGGGTCAATAACATACAAAAAACCTGATGAAATTCATCACCTTAAAAAAGATTATATTCTATAGTTTCAGTTTCCTATTTCCTTAATCTATGTATTTATATACATACATACACTAAAGGAAAGTTGATACAGAAAACATTGGCTTGAATCTGAGCAGCTGAATTACACATTTGTATTCCTTTTTAATTTCCTCATCTGCAAGAGGAAAAACTTATGGTCCTTCCATATTTTAAAGGCATCAATAATAATAAATGCCATCATCAGGTAGGGTGCTAGGCACATTAAATTATTTTTAATTATCCCAATACCTCTCAAAAATAAATATAATTCTTCCCATTTTACAGATGAAAAAAATAATCTCAGTGAGGTTAGGTGACTTGCCCAAGACTACAGTAGTGGAATTTAAGCCCAGTACAGTAGGCTCAAAAACTCTGGTTACTATACCAAGATGTCCCAGACTGTTAACAGATTGAGTTCCTTCGAAAAAAAAAAAAGTCAGATAGGAGATATTATATCATAAAAATAGATTTTTAAATGATAAAAATATTTTGTTCAGTTTTTAAGAAACTGTGTATAAAGAAACATTAGCCAGATGCACCATTTTTATACAGGTATATTTTTGCCTTCAGCATAATAACTTGATTTCTTTTTTTTTTAATATTGGAGGAGAGAGATAAAAGGAGGCCATAACAGATAATCACACTGTATTTAAGGTCCAAGAATTACCACTGAGTCCAATTTTTTTCCAGTTAATCCTTAATACAAATATTAAATTCAATTAACTACCAGCAACTCACTATCTATTCTCACAAAACTTGTTTCTCAAAGTTAAAAATTACAAATGGCTGGCCTAAGATGTTCCTGAATCAGAAAAACCTAACTTCTGATTAGAACCTCTAAATGTCACTATTTCTCTTAACCAGAAGGAAAACGAGTCTGAATAAAAGTATCATAATTTGCTCTAAGCAGAATCTACAGATGTATTGTATTGTGAGCTCTTCCTCCTAAGATTTTTCAGGTAGCCAAGTCACCCACCAAGATACTGTTTGAAGAAGACTAGATATTTAACAAAATGAAACTGATGCCAGATTTTTTTTATTTTCCTTAATAAAATATAAACAAGAGCACAAAATTCACTTATATATATCATCATTTTACTTGTATAAATAATGCTCAGAATTCAAGTACAGTCAAGTGCAGAAATATTTCCTATAGGCTAATGTGTAAATATAAACTAATCACATACATCACGTGCCTTTAGCCCAGTTTAAAGACATGAAAAACACTGCACTTGACTGTTTAATTGCATTCTCATTGAGAATTCGTACCAGTGCCTACATAGTTACAGTTTTACTTAACTGTTCCATTGCATTCTTATTGAGAATTCGTACCAGTGACTATGTAGTAATAACTACAACTTTCATACCACTCAATGTAAACACCTAAGTAGACATTTCCCCCAGTTGTAAATATCTCAGGAGCTAAACTTCTACCAATTTTTAATAATGAAGTAGTCAAAATCTTAACTGAGTTTCATTCCTTAAAACAAACACAATTAGAGAACTTGCTCTTAACCAAAGTTCTTCCTATGCCAAGATGGATATTTACAGGTTATACATACAGAAAACAAAATGCAATCATGTTTGTTTACTTTGAGAATAGACAAAAAATATCTAAAAGCTGTCTCTATAGTGTGAGTCTTTGTACATTCAAAAGGATCTTACTTCAGTGATATCACTTGCTTTTAATTTTAATACCTAGTATATATAACTTTGCGATGTTCAAATAGCTAGGCAATCTGAATTCAAATGATACACAAGCATACCCTTAGACAGGCAAGAAAAGAAAGTACCACCGAAAAAGCAATAACTGACATCAATAAGACTATAAATATCCAGTTGAAGGCACGTGGAAGCATTTACTACTCTGCTGTCAAAGACTCTCCACTTAGTTCAGGATCAGGAATAGAATCAACTCTGGGAACTGTGGAGTTGGCTTCCTCATTCTCAGTCTCTTCTTTCTCTTCAATCACTGAGGCTTCCTCATTCTCAGTCTCTTCTTTCTCCTCTGGCTCCTCTGAGTCAGATGCTTTTTCAATCACTTGGTTTGTCTGTTCTGTAGCTGGTATTTTGTCATCTGTCTGCTCTGTACTATTACCAAGAACATCTTGTTCTAAAGATTCTGAAAAGATAAAGATTCAAGACTTTAGGAATACCCAAATGTTAAAACTGCTAAATAAGGCAAGCAAAAGATACACACACACACACACACACACACACACACACACAGAGAGAGAGAGAGAGAGAGAGAGAGAGAGAGAGAGAGAGAGAAATCATACAGTTGTCTAACACTATCCTTAAAATCTTTTAAAATAAGTACCTAACTCCCTTTACAGTATGATTGAAGAAAAAAAATAACTTAGACAAACCCATAAACATACATTTTCTAATGTCCCATATTTTCATAAAAAGTAAGTTCCTAAAGACACATCTGAAAGTTGAATGTCCAAAAATCATAGTCCCAAAAGAATTATGTGCTATAATACCACAGTCCAGCAAACAATGCAAATGTATTAATGTCCAGATTGTTTCCTGAAGAAATTGTTTCCCTTGTGTCCAGGCAACCCTGTGAGCAATGTGTAAATGTGTACTTTTATGTGTGGGTGTGGGTGGATGGTGCTTTCCTACACTGATGTACGACTCTATTATCCAAAAACCGGGAAGTCAGGGTCTACCTTTTTCAAAGGCATGACAAGTCTCTCTCCTCATCCCTCTGCAAGAAACAAGTCCTCGGTATTTAACCTCTGGGTCAGAATGTGCTACATACCTAGCATGCTAGGGAGAGAAAGAGAAGGGTCTTTCAACCCCACCTCCATAGCAGAAGCTAAGTAAGGGTACTAGTCCCTACATGAAAATTTACTCCTTTTAACCTCTAACTCTTTTTAAGTATGATTGAATTCAAATCCCTTAATAATATAACAATTGTATTAAATAAACTGCCTTTAATTCTTTAAAGAACAGGATAGGGGAGGGAATAACTGGAGCAGACAACCTTTGGGACACGTATTTCTACATTACAGATAAAAATCCAGCTTTAAGGTATTTATTTTTGTAAAAAATAGCAATTAATATTTTTGCTAGGAGAAATATGGCTAAACCACATCAGTTACGGAAAAAAAAAAAACAGATTTTTCTACTCTCACAGGTGATTGCTTATGATATACTACAAATGTTACTGATTCAAAAAATCTGGAGGGAAGGCCAGTCCTAGTGAAAAGTTCTAATTAAGTTTCTTGTATAATACAGGCCAGTTTTGCTAAATAAATAAAATTGTTTTACAAATAAATTATGTGTTATATGCACATGTGTTAATATGGAAGTCTTAGAAATCCATGGTTTTACCATACCAGTTTTAATAAATACAAATTATCTATATCTCACATACTCTATGACAATACTTTTAAAATATTTTAAAAGAATTACGAGGTCAAGAGATCGAGACCATCCTGGTCAACATGGTGAAACCCCGTCTCTACTAAAAATACAAAAAATTAGCTGGGCATGGTGGCGCGTGCCTGTAATCCCAGCTACTCAGGAGGCTGAGGCAGGAGAACTGCCTGAACCCAGGAGGCGGAGGTTGCAGTGAGCCGAGATCACGCCACCGCACTCCAGCCTGAGTAACAAACGCGAAACTCTGTCTCAAAAAAAAAAAAAAAAAAAAAAAAAAAAAGAAGAATTTCTTCAAAGAGGTATAGAGGTATCTTGGACTCTGGCTTATATAATTAATTATAACCACCTTCCTCCTTTTTATATGCAGAATAACGGCCCAAATTCCACAATTAAAAACATTTTAGTTATTAAATTATAGTAAAACTTAATGATGTTTTCCTACATGAAACATTCCTATAATCACAAAAAGTAGCAAAAAAAAGTCCATAAATTAATTTGTACCAAATTTCGTTTTTAAAAATCTTATTTGTATCTTAATATGGAACTTAAAGTGGCATTGCTACACCCTTGGAATCTTACAAAAATCCAAGTTAGAAAATCAGTAAGTCACTCGAATTTTGTTATTTCAATGTTCCAGAGCAGAAAGGAAAAGCAGAAAGGGCAAATGAAACTACAGGCAACTACAAATCATTTCTGCTACAGGAGCAAACAAGTTATTTGTGGAAAACTTCAGGAGTCACCAATCATTTGTAATACTACCCTCACAGAATTTATCCAAGATAGAATTTAAAGAGTCATGGTTTTCCATAACTCTCTGGCCATACAGCAATATTTACTTGGCAAGAACTTCACAATTTCTTATAGTTTAGTACTTCTGAAACAAACCAATAAAGCCACAAGAAATGAAAAAATAAAAAGCTCAGAATCCAGGATGTAACTCACCAATAAACATGTTTAAGTGAAAACAGGCCCACATAGTTTGTCATATTCTGTCTGACAGATTGCCTCAATACTGTATTGAAACAGGAGAGGTATCAAAATTCAAGGCTTGTCATATTAAAGTTTTGTGATGTTACTATTTTCAAAAATAAACTTTACTAGTCAAAGCTAATTTAATATACAAATTCTGGGGCCATAAAGAAGTGGTTAATGCAAGGAGGAGAACTACAATCCTGAAATTTTTAAATGTCTGCAACACAAGAATTCAAAGAAACACCATGTGCTATCATAATCAGAAAACAACATGATACACAAAGTTTTCCAGTCACTATTATATTTCAGAGAATATGTGAAAGATTACAAAACTGATGAAATGATGGGTGGAGATTGAAAATAATCAAAGAGCCTATTAATGATTACTTTTCTTCTCCTGGGTTAATTTGCAAAAAAGCAATTTTTTAATAGCAGTAAGACTACAAAAAATTGGTATGTGACATGACACAATGTAGACATCAGCCAGTCTAAATAAGATAGTTAATTGATGTTTGGATGCCAATGCCATTTTGTAAGAAGTCATCAAACAAGATCTAAATAATTAAGTGTAAAAGATTAACAGATAATTACATATCAATTTAATAACCACAAAGCTTTATAAGAAGATTAATGTATAACAAACGTGCTTTTTTCATTTCTATGGAAGCATATCATTTGCCTATTCTAACAAAAACAGCAAATTTCTTCCATGAAGTTGTAGTTTAAAACAGCTTGTTGGAACAAATATATTTCTGAAGATGTTAATATTTGGGCATAAAATACTATAAGAGAAACCAGGCTTTGTGTTCACACTAATTAAAGAACCCTACTCTTCACTGTATGGCCCAGTGCAAGACAAAGATATGAAACAATTACCTGAATAACCTAATTCCATCTATAAGAAAAAATTTAAAATTCACTCTGGCATCTATAATGCCAAGAAAACAATAAACCACAATGTGATAAAACAAAAAATAATCTATGCAATTTCTTTCTTTCCCCACTCCTGCCATCAGCCCACCCCAGCCTCAATATTCTTAAGAGAGTTTTTTTTTTAAACCAAATAGTAACAATTGGCTTCCAGTTGTTTGGGCATAGTCTAAACTCAGCTAGAAAACTGAAACTCATAAAACAGCATAATTATATAAGGAATATCACTGCCTTACCTATAAACTACATGCATGTAAAAACATGTAAGAATATCATATTTAGGTTTTTACTCTAGTTCTTGAAAGAACAATTTTTTAAGAAAATTAAATAATAGTCTAGCAAAACAACTTCATAAATTTTTGCCTTACTAACACATAAAAATTTTGCCTTGCTAACACATAAAAATTTTGCCTTGCTAACACATCAGTGCCCAGTATATATGTAGGCTACAAACTTACCAAATGACTCAATATATAAAATTCAATTAAATTATAACCACTCATAAGAAAATCGTTAGTATTCAACACATAGAATATCATTAATTATTTACCATTTCTGAACAAATCAATTAGACAGGAGTTTTTTGTTTTGTTTTGTTTTGTTTTTGAGACAGAGTCTCACTCTGTTGCCCAGGCTGGAGTGCAGTGGTACAATCTCCACTCACTGCATCCTCCACCACCCAGGTTCAAGCAATTCTCCTGCCTCAGCCTCCCATGTAGCTGGGACTACAGGTGTGTGCCACCACGCCCGGCTCATTTTTGTATTTCTTAGTAGAGACAAGATTTCACCATATTGGCCAGGCTGGTCTCAAATTCCTGACCTCGTGATCCTCCCAAAGTGCTGGGATCACAGGGGTAAGCCACTATGCCTGGCTAAGAGTTTATTAGGCAATGATCAAAAACTATACTACTAAGTGAAGGTGTTTTAGAAAAGGGAGTCAGAAGACCAAATGATCTCTATGTCTAAAATGAACATTCAAAAACATACTATAAGCAAGTTTTTATCTTGAGAAAGTAGCACATAAGTAAATATAAACAAAGGTATAAGAACATTATTTAATGGATTTGGTAAATACATGGAATTCAACAAAATTTACATTACCAAATAGTTTAATTTTCTGGTGCATCATAACAAAAATATTAAACACAGAATTTTCCCTTGTTCAGCACAATCTAATGGTAACAGTATTTTATATAAAAGAAAGGGAAGGACTAAAATTACATTATAATTTCACCTTATATAAATTTTGCTTGCTATTTTTGATAGTATTGATTAGATACCATGAGTTTTATTATTAGGAAGTTATTTCTAATTGGAGAAAAACTGTATTCTACTGAAATTATTGCATGAAACCTAGACAAACACAACTGAGCAACAAAAACACAATATCAACATTAACATTTTTTAAACATGGTAGTCAAAAAAATCACTGCACTAGAATACTAACAATGTAGAAACCTAGAACTCCAATGATTATCACATATCATAAAAAGGATCCTATATATCAGTATTTAGAAAGTACATTTTCTAAAAAAGGTAAAACTGATAAACCACTTTAATGTGAATTAGCAGAGAATCAAGTATTATGGTGCTATTTATTTAACCATAAAAGAAACTAAGGAACCTAAAAGCAATTCATTTCTTGGCATATCATATTTAGTATGTCCTCAAAAAGACAATCTATATACCCAATTTCTCGTTATTTCTTTAATAATCTATTACCAAGGCATCTGGATGTAAAATTCCAGAAAAAAAAATATTCTAGGTATTCAGGTAAGAAATTAATGGGAGAAATTTCTTCTAGGTCTCCTCCTTTGATGAAAACTTTCCAAGATTCTGTAAGTTTTTCTAAAGAGCGGTCCAGAAATTTTAACAGCTTTGTGCCTCATCCTAAATGCAAAATCTTCCAATATCAGAATCCAGGCAAAACTTAATTTCAAAATCCTTATATCACAGATTGAAAAATATATATTTCTTCTATTAATTCTTGATTGTTCATAAAAACGGTTACTGGTATCTGTTTAAGGAAAAGTTCAGATGGAAGAAAGTTATCTTTTGGTTCTATCTGTAACTTCAATAACTTAATCTCTACAATCTCTGTTGCTATCAAGGAGCCACTTCAGTACTTTTAATAATATAAGAATTAAAGCAGAGTTTTTCTTCAGACCTCAAGTATCTATATCATTTAGAAATCAGAAATCTAAAACACTGGCTGTTAGCAAAGAGTAGATGATTGAGATGGTATGGTTTTAATTAATAGTTCAATATAATCATAAGCCACCAGTGTTCAAAACAAATGCAGTTTCATCTGTTCATAAGAAATACTTCTAGTTGTTTACAAAGGAAGCCAGCTTGGAATTGATAACTGTGTGTCATAGTGTTGAGTTAGAAGTCTTCAGAAAAGTTTCAGTCTTCTGGAAAGTCAAAGAAGAAAAAGATGCTTATGGCCACTTTGATGAATCCAAAGAGAAGTATGAAAGTTATTATTCTAGAAACTATCTTAACCAAATGGAATTGTTGCTTCAGTTTTTAGCATTATGGAGTTATCAAACTCTGCCTCAAGTTTTGTCTTCACCTAATAACATTACCTTATTTGGGTTGAGTTTGAGCCAGTAAGACTTCTTTCCAGAGATTTCAGACAGAAAATGAGACATCTGGGGTATTGCTCCTCCTAGATTAGATGAGAAGGAAAGGTATAGCTGGGTGTTGTTTGCTAACTATCCACCTTGATCTTAGCAGAAGATATAAAATATGGGACTCATTATCAAGATTTTCACTCTGTTGTCTGTTTTTACTAGTCTTTTCTATTTTTTTTTTTTTTGTCCCAACTATTATCTTTCAAATATTCACTTTAGCTTCTCTAAACAGGACTAGTGATAGAAATGACTTCAGATTTTCCTCTAGGCATCTTCAGTATGAAATCCTTTAATTTTCAGTTCCAAGAGGCTGCAATGGTAAGGCAGGTGGTTTGCATGTGACTGCATGCAGCTCAGGGCACGACTTAAGCAAAAGAAAAAAATTGTCATTCTGTTTGGAGTTGATGCTGCAGACTTGGAGAAGATGAATGCATTCATTCAGTGTTGAAAGTATACAGGCCTCTCTCACAGCTATCTGTATTCAAATTCGTTTCAATATTTGTTAGTAAGCCAAAAGCCAAGCCCAATTCAACACAAGCATTTTAGGTTCACTCTTCAAAGTTAAAAAAAATACATAGATACTCAAATCCCATACTAAATTTCTGATATCTGAAAATTCACTGCTTCATATCATGTTTTCAATTAAAGCAACTTTTACAGTACTCAATGTTTTTATGAAGAAGATATCAAGTATATATAAATTATAATTACTAGAAATTAAAAAGAATCTTGACTGATAAATAAATTATGGGAACTAAACTTCTAATATGCATATTTTTTCTATATCACACATAGCACCAAAATATTATAGCCTAGCTCATAATTTTGGCAAGCTTTATAATTCAGAGCTGATTAACAAAGAGCTCCTAACCAAATATTAATGCTGTAGTAAGAAAGAGCTGGCAATAGTCAAATCTCCCACCTAATCTTTTCCATTTTTTCATGAAACCTCCTCAAGAATTCCTAAAACAGAATTGTGAGATGAATTCTAAAACCCAATAAATTCTGATATATTCTGTTTCTCTAAAATAAAGTTGATTTTTATGTCAAAGGCAATGTTAATCTTGTGAACCTTTATAAATTGTCTGTTTCAATGAAATATCAGTCCTACTGATACAGTCATCCAAAAAAATGCAAGGATAATGTTATAATTCCAAAGTTTCCTGCTTCCTGGTAATATCTACCAATTCATGTGGTAGATACAAACCTATTTTATCAATGTTAATCACAAATCTTATATTTTATCCTTTGAGTAGTTGTTTCATAATTCCAATAATCTGTTTCATTCAGATAAATTGAAAAAATTATCCCATGAAAATATTACTAATCAAATCTCCCAACGGTTTTTAGAAACGGTCACTCCATAAAGAATGTTTAACTAGCTGATGCTAGATGTTGCTTATCACAATACAATCTACATGTTAAAAGTGAAAAAATCACACCAATCACACAGGAGGCTATAGTAACAGAGCAACAGCCGATATATCCATGCGGCAAAATCTGATAAATTAATCCATCCTTACCTAAAAGCATTATGCTTTTATTACTGTTAAATAACAACATGTTATTAAGGGATAAAACTGTTTAACATATCCATACCTTCATTAAACTGGTTGTCTGATGAAAGCACACTTCCTGATGGCAAGGGGCCAACTGAACTTGAACCTTCCACCACCTGCCTCTTCTCAAAACTAAACTCGGGAAGTCTTGGAGCCTGAGGTCTGGTTTTTCTTGCGGGGTTCAAGAAAAAACAGTAGGCACATCGAAAAGCTGCAGAGAATATTTTAAAAATAAGCAAAACCACAAACCAAACAAAGTTCAAGGACTAATTAGTTAACTCACAAGATTACTTAGTGCAGAGATACTCAAAAGAACCCTTTAAAAGTTACTGTATTTGTTATTTTAATAATATGATAGATGTTCTAAACAGAACTAATTTACAGCATATTTCCTACTTATTAAAATTAAAATTGTAATACTTAAAATTAAAGGCAGAAAAGGCATAACAGGTTATATAGCAGGCTAATTATGTAATAAGTTACATAGGAGGTTGATAGCAAATAATGATTTAAATGAATTAGTGAGATTACATTTCTAGTCACCAGAATCATTAGGTATTTTAAAATCCAGAACCTTACACATGTACCCAAGAAAATGCAGTACACAGTATTTTAGAAGCATTTTTAATTTACCACAGTAGTTTTTAATAGTGGTTACACATGAGAATCATCTGCAGAGCTTTAAAAAATGTACTGATGCCTGGGCCCCATAGTCGGTCCCTTAAAGGAGACTCTTTGTAAATGGGTCCTGGGTATCATAATTATTTTAATCTCTTCAGGTGACAGTGATGCACAGTGGGCTTTGCGAACAACTGGCCTAGAGGCTGTTCATTATATAGGAAGCAGTCTAAATTGTCTTCCCTGCTTTGCTCTATGTACCAAAATAAGGATAATATGCCTAACCAATGTATACAAAGAGAGTATATAAAATAAAGTGACAACACATAGAAAATGGCATAGAATAAAATATTTAAAAGTAAAATACTTAAATCTCATTGCCCAATAAAACTTACCGATATATTCAAACTCTTCCTTCAAAGCCATGCCATTATGAGAAAAACACTGCTGACATATAAGTGCATACCTACACCATAAGGAAAAATGAACAAACCAGTTACAAATGCAGGCAAAGCTTATGGGAGAGGGTATTTTACCCATCATGGCTAATTTATATTTTAATGTAGCTAAATATGCCATAACAAATTACGTGATAGTAAAACATACACAATATTTGTTAAAAAAAAATTAACCAAAGCCCAAATTTAAAATATTTAAAAACATAATTTATACATCAAATTTAAAAAAACTAAACAGCAGTTAAATGAATATGTCTTTACTAAGTTAGCAGAAACATATTTGATAACTGAACACTTAAATTTGGGAGGCCGAGGCAGGTGGATCACGAGGTCAAGAGATCGAGACCATTCTGGTCAACATGGTGAAACCCCATCTCTACTAAAAATACAAAATATTAGCTGGGCATGGTGGTGCATTCCTGTAATCCCAGCTACTCAGGAGCTGAGGCAGGAGAATTGCCTGAACCCAGGAGGCAGAGGTTGCAGTGAGCCAAGATCGTGCCATTGCACTCCAGCCTGGGTAACAAGAGCGAAACTCCGTCTCAAAAAAAAAAAAAAAATTTGGTATTTCCCAAAGTATAGTCCTGAGGATGAAAGCCTCCAAATCTGTGGTCAGATAAGGAAAGTTGGAACCCTCTTAGAGATTCACAAGGAATATTATTAAAACCTGAGAAGTCTTCTAGCAAATAAACATATTTTTGTTTAGTCCCACCCAAAGATTAATTTCTATACATGATTCCTATACTTTTTCCAGTTACACTAAACATATTTCTCATTTTCTATTTATATACTTTCTCAGTTCTCTGTGGATATACTCAACAAATACTTGCCTGTATCAAATGTCATTCTATTTTGAATAACATAATTAGGAGGGCTATCAAACACCTACTATCCTATGAATTTTTAAAAAATCTATACTTTGATCATTACTCTGCACATATCACACGATCTTCCTAGAGTTATTGTAAGAATAACTGGAAAAGCATTTTCAGAACTGTTAAGTACTAAATACATGCAAATTGCTCCTAATGTTATTAAAAGTACTACTATCACCAAGTCCAGTACTGGTATCTATAAAGCTCCATTTCTTAGAACCTATCAGAATTGCACTATAAGGATTTGCTCTTTAAGTTTAAAAGTTTCAGTGAAATAATCCACTTTCTCTAAAAGTTATAGCAGAGCTAATATTTTTTCCAAATGGATTTAATGCAGACTACATTGTCAAAACTTCTACTGTCAAACAATTGAATATGTATTCTTTTGCAGGGCTATAAAATATTCCCTTATGCTCTAAAATCAGAAAATAGGTGCCACAAAACTGTAGAACATCTAGTGTGTGTACACATACACATCCTGATTTCATTTCCATTTATCTACCACCCCAGTAAATATTACCTGTTCTGTGGACCATCACCAACCAAATATTCTACAATTCTATCCAAAGCGCCTCGTTCTCGGGGGAGAATAGGTCTTGCTAAAGGTGGACCTGGAGGATGAAGACCTATTAAATAAATACATATAAAATTTATATGTATGAAATACACATAAAATTTAATTCTATTATCAAGAACTATCTATGCTTGTTAACACTTTTAAAAGGTTTTAACAAAATTACAAAATAATAATTCTTACAAATCTCTGAAGACTATTCAAATTTTCATTAAAAATACTACACTACAAAAATATATTTAAATATGTGCTAATCTACATAATCTACTAGATTCCTACTATATAATCTATTAGCAAATACAATTATGCTTAATTCTGTTCAAACTGATTTTTTAAAATGCTCCAACTCTTAAAAATCTATGTAATCGTAAGTCAGGGGACTTCCATTTCAGATCATAATAGAGTTACAGGAGTCAGATTTAACGTCCCAACTAAAACACTGTGCAAAACATATGAAGTAACAGTTTTAAAGACACAGGATATCAAGCAATGTAGGTTATTGTTCCCTGAGAAGACTAAAAACAAGACACGCCCTACATCTGCCCCAGCTTATTGCCTATAGAGTTTTTACTCAGCAGTGAAAGGAAAATAAACCCAGCTGAAGGGTAGCAGACTCTCATAGTTGAGGAGACAAAGCCAGAATTCTGAGGAGGCCAAGGCAGCTTGAGTTCACAAGAAAAAGTACCAAGGAGGAGAGAAGGCACAGAAAAAGAACAACAAAGATCTATAGAGGGTTTACTAGAGAATTCAGCAGAGTACTGATTGGTGCATGCATGTGAGAAAACTATCTGAGGATGGAGGAAAAATTACCCAAAAATGTGAAAAGAAAGTGTTCATACAGGGCCAAGAATATTGCCCATTTCCATTAGGAAGGAAAAACCTCCTAACACACAGGCCATTGGGTATTCAGAAGAGTACTGTATAGAAATTTTTAAAATCTAGCATTCAATAAGGTAAAATTCACAATGTCTGGCATCAGATTAAAAATTACTAGACATGCCAATAAGCAGGAAAATATTACCAATAAGAAAAATCAATCAAAACTGACCCAGAAATTATGAAAAATGACTGAATTAATAGACAACTAATTCTTATGACTGTATTTCATGTTTGAGAATCTAGAAGATTCAGTATGCTAAGTAGACATGAAAAAAACTTAAAACCAAATTGAATTTCTACAGATTAATGTCTAGTATAAAAAATCCAGATTATGTGTACACCAGTTCAGAAACTGCACACACAAAAAACTGGTGAACTTTAAGACATAGCAATAGAAACCATACAAAATGACACCCGGGTGCAGTGGCTCATGCCTGTAATTTCAGCACTTTGAGAGGCTGAGGCAGACAGATCACTTGAGCTCAGGCATTCAAGACCAGTCTGGGCAATAGCAGAAAGTCCCATCTCTATTAAAAAAAAATACCAAAATTAGCTGGGTGTGGTTACATGCATCTTAGTCCCAGCTACTCAGAAGGCAGAGGTAGGAGGGCTGTTTGAACCTAGGTCAAGGCTGCAGTGAGCCATGATCATACCACTGCACTCCAGCCTGGGTGACAGAGCAAGACCACAGAACAACCTCAAGCAGCCAATATATATAATTGGAATCCATCAAGAAGAGGAGCGAAATGAAGAAAAAGACAAAAATATGTAAAGAAATAATGTATATTTTCTAAATTTGATCAAAGCTATAAATGCACATATTCAAAAATATCAACAAATCCCAAGCACAAGAAACATAATTTTGTTCCAAGACAGTGAATGACCAAATTGCTTAAAACCAATAATAAAGAGAAAAATATTAAAAACAACTGGAAAAAAATACATTATGTACAGAGAAAGAGATAAGAATAATAGCAGACTTCTCATCAGAAAAGATGCAAGCCAGAAAACGATGAAACAATCTTTAAAGTTCTGAAAGAAAGGAAATGCCAGATATAGGTGAAGGGGAGGAAGGCAGCAAATCACACTGCCATGTGTGTACCTATGCAACAATCTTGCATGTTCTTCACATGTACCCCTAAATGCAATAAAACCTAAAATGCAATTAAAAAAAAAAGTTCTGAAATAAAAAATTGTCAAAAATTCTATATCTACTGTGAACATCTTTTTTAAATGAAGATATTTTCAGATATAAAAAACTGAAAGAATTCATCACTAGAAGAGCAATACAAGAAATGTTAAAAAGAAGCCCTTAAGGCAGAAGTAAAGTCATAGCAGATAGAAAGTAAGATCTACACAAAGGAATAAAGAATCTAAAACAGTTATCACATGGGTAAATATGTAAAACTTTTTATTATTTAAATCACCTTAAAAGATAACTGACTGCACTGTATTATGCATTATATGTAATCTAGAGATAACTTGAAGTATATGGAAGGATATGTATAGATTGTATGCAAATACTATGCCATTTCATATAAGGGAGTTGAGCATCTGTGGATTCTGGTATCCGCTGGGGGATTCTGGAAACAGTCACCCATGAATATATGTTCTTTCAAGTAAATAGAAAACATTTACCAATACATGGCATTCTTACACATAAAATAAGTATCAATACACTTTTAAAGATTCAAATAACACAATGTATGTTTTATAACAAAAGAATTAAATTAGAAATCAGCAGCAGATAAACAACTGAAAAATCTCCAAATATTGGTGACTAAATAACATACATTTGAATAACCCAGGACTCAAAGAAAACAGGAAAATTAGAAAGTATTTTAAATTGAATGAAAGTGGGAAAAAAATCAAAATTTATGATATGCAGATAAAGCAGTACTGAGAGAAAAATTTGTAATGTTAAACACCTATATTACAAAAGAAGATAGGACTAAAATCCATAATTTCAGCTTCCTCATTATGAAAATAGCAAATGAAACCCAAAGTACAGAAGAAATGATAAAGATCAGAGAGGAAATCAATACAATAGAAAATACAAAAGAAAAGATGGTTCTTTGAAAAGATCTATATAACTGTTAACCTCTAGCCAGACTAATGGGGGGAGGCGGGGGGAAGAAGATACAAACTACTAATATCAGAAATGAGAAAAATGGCCTAACTCCAGATTGTAAAAACACTAAAAGGATAATTAGGGAATGTTACACGCAACTTAATGCCGATAAATTCTATAAGTTGGATAAAATGGACAAACTCTTTGAAAGACTACCAAACTACCAAAGTTCACTCAAGATGATAAAAATAGTTATTTGATTTGTTAAATTTTATTGTGAATTTTTGCATCTATGTTCATATGTAATATTCGTAGTTTTCTTAGAGGAACTAAATTTTTAGTAAAAAAACAAAAACACCTTTTTCTCTCAGAAACAAACAAAAAAAAACAGGCCTAGATGCTTCAACTGATCAAATCCACTGAACATTTAAATTAAGGAAAAAATAATACCAATTCTACAAAAATTGTTCAGAAAAATAAATAGGGAATACTTACATGAAACCAACATAACTCTGATACCAAAACCAGACAAAGTTATGACAAGGAGAAAATAAAAAAACACAGACCAATATTCCTAATGAGTACTGATATCAATATTTTTAACAAAATATTAGCAAACTGAATCCAATAACATGAATATAAAATAATTCATCACAATAAAGTGAGATTTATTCCAGGAAAGCAAAGGAAGTTTAACATTTAAAAGTCAATTTAATTCACTATATGAACAGGCATTAAAACAAAGAAACAAACAAATCCCAATATAAACATCTCAATAGATGTAGAAACAGCATTTGAAAAAATCCATAATCTATTACTAATTTAAAAAAAAAAAACAAAAAACCTTCAGCTAAGTAAGAATAGATGGGCACCTCAAGTTGAAAAGGAGGATTTATTAAAATAAAAAAACCCTAGAGCTAACATCATGTTAAAATGTGAAAGAATAATTGTTCTTTTCCTAAGACCAACAAAAAGGCAGGGAGGTCCACTCATAGTATTAATAGGAATTAACACTGTACTGAAGGTTCTCACTCATGTAATAAGGTAAGAAAAATAAATAAAAGAAAACCAGATTGGAAAGGGAGAAGTAGAATTTTCTTTATTCAGACAATGTAGCTGTCTAGGTGGAAAATACTATTTAATCTACAAAAAAAGTTATCAGACTAGATAGAGCCAATAAATTAATTTATCAAGGTTATAGAATACAAGAGCAATATACAAAAATCAATTGTATTTCTACATATACTAGCAATAATCAGTTGGAAAATAGTTAATAAAACAATGCCATTTATAATAGCATTAAAAATATGAAATAATTAGATGTAAATTTAACCAAAAACGTGCAAAATCTATACACCAAATACTACAAAACACTGCTGAAAGATATTAATGACCTAAATAAAGAGAAATATACTGTGTTCATATAATAAATTAGACAATATCAGAAGAGATTAATGGTAAGTAGGGAGTGGAAGAATAGCACATAAAATTTAGTTAATAATTTTATTTTATATAAAAGTAATGATAAAAATAAAGAGTTACACATTCAAACTTATGAATTGTAACCCTACATAACCCCTGAAAATTGAAAGAGAACTATTTGCAGGAGATACTCGGAATTGAGACAACACAGAAGGCACTGAGAAGAAAGTGACAGAATAAAATAAAATGTGTTATTTGCTTTTGTAAAACAAAACAGAATGAACCTAATAAGGTGAGTAGCAATGGAGGTTTACATGGAGACTTCATAGAAGACTCTGAAACAAAATGGAACCCTGTTGAAAGAAGCCTTGCAATATACGGATACAAGGGTTTCAAAATGGCTGTGATAAAATCTTTAAAGTATTCAAGATGGCTTTAGGATAGTAATACTGTATTATACTAATATTTTAAAGGAATAAAAAAGAATTTCAATTTTTAAGTAATCACAAATGTAAAGGCTATTACCATCTATAAAAGGGCAATTGATGTCAAAATTATAGCTATTAGTAAATAAAAGTTAGGTTCTAGAGCAAGTTCTTAGTATTAGAAATCAAGTACACCTTTTTCTTTCTTTCTTTCTTTTTTTTTAAACATATCTTGCTCTGTTGCCCAGGCTGGAGTGCAGTGGTGTAATCTCAGCTCACTGCAACCTTCGCCTCCCAGGTTCCAGGGATTCTCCTCCCTCAGCCTCCCAAGTAGCTGGGATATAAGTGCCTGCCACCACTCTCAGCTAATTTTTATATTTTTAGTAGAGACAGGGTTTCACAGTGTTAGGCTGGCCTTGAACTCCTGACCTCAGGTGATCCCCGTCTTGGCCTCCCAAAGTGCTGGGATTACCGGTGTGAGCCACCACACCTGGCCCTCAAGTACACTTTTAAGATTCCATCAGTAGCAGGGTGCAGTGGATCATGATTGTAACCCCAGCACTATAGGAGGCCAAGGTGGGTGGATCACCTGAGGTCAGGAGTTCAAGAACAGCCTGGCCAACATGGTGAAACCCCATTGCTTTAAAAATTAGCCAGAAGTGGTGGCACATGACTGTACTCCCAGCTACTGGGGAGGCTGAAGCAGGAGAATCGATTGAACGCAGAAGGCAGAGGTTGCAGTCAGCCAAGATCCATGACACCGCACTCCAGTCTGGGCAACAGAGCAAGACTCTGTCTCAAAAAAAAAAAAAAATCCATAAGCTAAGTTACTGGTTTATTTGTGCTAACGACATTTAATTATTATCATCGAGAAATAATCTTGAATCCAGACATGGTCATCCCTCATTATCAGATTTTCAACTTGAATAAGCAAGCCATATTAGATTTGGAAAGCATTTAAGCCAACATAACTTTTGCTACAATATTTTACTTCTACATATTTAAAGTGAACATACCCACAAAAGAATCCGGATACACGAAATAACAGATTTCATAAAAATATCTTAAAAGTTTTGCACATGCATCTTTATATTCATGCTGTTCTAGACAATGGTAATTAATACAAACATCAAAAGCAATCATTGTAGGAATACTGGTCATTTTTACACAGCTTGGCAAATTATCAAGTACCTGCTGGTTATTAATTTTCAAACATATGGGAGCCCTGTGGTAATACATGTTAAACTGATTCTCTTCCACAAATATGGCATAAAGAAAAAATTAATTATTAATCTTATTTATAATAAATTATTTAACTCATTCACATCTTTGGCAATGTACAATTTAAACACAGTCACATAGAAACGAATTAAAAACTTTAGTAAAACATGTTATATTTACACAATCATAAAATCTAGGCTATTATTCCTTCTATAGCCCTATTCTTACATGTGTAATACAGTTTTTATTACTATATATTGTAAATTTTTTTCTTAAAATAAGTTAGATATAAAAATGTATATAATCCATACATTCACAGCTAAAAAAGTTATTTCATTAAATAACCAGGAATTTCTATTTACAAATCATGGGCATCTTAAATCCACCAGATAACAACTGAAAGATCAGTAATTTTCAATCAATTTAACTTTTCTCATTTTATAAAATATATGGCTGCCTTAAGTATTGTCATTATATATCAAATTTAAAAGTATTATTTTACATAACTATTTTTAAAGTTTTAAGATTTGCATACATTTCATTTATAGTCAGTATTCTTAATTTGTTAGTAAATGAACAGTTTTTTTAATCTTCTAAAATCTTATACTGCATTTTTGAAGGAAAAGAAAAACATCTACTGTACTAAATAACATTCCTATTTTTTATTGATTTTACTACACAAATGCTCTGGTTACCTGATATGAGCTACTGCCTAGCCTCAAAATCCTTATAAATTATATATCAGTAATTAGTCATGAAATAAAAAAGTAATCTACATTAGAATTAAATAATCTAAAAAAAAAATTTACTATCACATTCAACAATATGACTTGGAAATCTATATAAAACAATGCGATCTACACTAAAGCAATGGACTTCCGTGCCCCAATCACACTCCAAAAGAAACTGCAGGGTACTATAGTCTATTACACTTCAGAATGGGATCTTCCCCTAGAGATCCACCACAGTGAAAAGAGAATCTATGAAATAAAATAAAAGAGAATATATTCATTTAATAGAACTTTATAAAGTATCTATCAGAAAATACTAAGGTTCTATGCCCATATTAACAAATATTGTATACCACAATACAAGAGTATTATTCCTGAAATATGTTAATTGTCATGTCTAAAAATATATGTACGCAGTTTAGCCAAAAATCATTAATACATTCCAAAAGTGTTTTCTTCTATCTCCATTTTATATAAATCTGGAGGCATTCTAAAGTTGAATATAAAAAGATGTGCTATACTGTTGACTACAGACTACTACTACAAAGTTTTATTGCCATTTAAACAAAGAAGCCATAACAGTTAAATGAGCTCAAGAAATAGGTTTCAGTATCACAAGGTGCCAGCTGTAAAGAGTTATGGCTAATTGAATATGGAACTCCTGCTTAATCAGATAACTGCTCTGCTATTTTCAAATAAAATGCCATTTCCATACCATCTGAAAATGGCCCATTTTATTGGTAACCAGAGAAAACAATATAAACTGTAAATAACATTAAGTGCTCTGTTTACCCATTCCAGGCACTGAAGTAGCAGGGGATCCAAGATGTCTTGGTAACACATTTGATGGTAGTGCTGGAGTAACAGTCCTTTCTGGGGGTCCACCAGGGGCAGAACTGTCCTTTGGTGGTCCAGGAGATACTGGAACTTGTGGAGGAGGGCCCTGGTTAGGACTTGCTGGTGTTGGAGAAAGTTTTCTTTGAGCTGCAGTTCGCTGACGAATCTCTGAGAAGAGTAAGTATATACTAGACTTAATTTCCAATATATCATATTAACCAATATCACAAACAATTTATATTTACTAAAATTCTGCATCTCCAAAAAGCACTGTAGTTTCAAAGCTGCTTATAAGAAATCTATAAAATGTGACATTGAAAACAAAGTACTATATTTCTGAACTTACAGTTCAACTGTACATCTTTACACAAGCTGTGATCTAAGTGTAGCTACTGATATCACTTTTCAAAATAAATTCAGTAAAATAAAATCACCCAATTATGTGTCATGTCTTTTTACAGTACTCTTCCTAATTATGATAAAGGAAAGACAGTTTATCAGAATTAGTGAAAACTCCAAATTGCAGAGTTGTTTTTCAAGATTTAAAAAACTAAAAACTAAGAGTTAAGTGAATAAGTATATTCTGGAATATCAAAGTCATTAATCTATGTAGTCATAGAAATGCTGAGAAAGTATTTTTACTATTAGGTACCATTTCCATTCTCCTTTATGATTTGCTATGCTTTTGGCAAATTTGTTCTGGCCAAAACATTCAATAGATCTACTCTGTATAAACAACATTTCATCATTAATAAATCTTAGCTTATAATTGCAGAAATTACAAGATTCTCTGTAACAGGGGTCAGCCAACATGCCAAATCCAGGCTGCCGCCTGCTTTTGTAGTTTTATTAGAACACAGCCCCACTCTTTTGTTTACATATTGTCTATGACTGCTTTAGAAGAGTAGAGTAGTAGCAACAGAGACCATATGGCTCTCAAGGCAATTTAACTATATTTACTATCTGCTCTTTTCAAAAGAAGTTTCATGACCCGTACTCAGTAACATAAAATTCAATTCTATTATTCTCCATTACCACCAATATTTTCCTTGAAGGTCAGTGGTAAGATTTCACTTAAAGAAGCCTTTGTAATTTTTCAGTTCTACCTATCACATTAAATTATCACAAATCCTGAATTAGTGGACTGAAACTAAAGAAGTTATTTTTAATTGGCATAAATAGTAAAAATACATACATCCAGAAGCAAAACACTTGTACTCTATTTGACAGTTAAAGATTTTCATGAAAGTTCATTGCAGAAAAGTACAGCTCCAGTGTCAAATCTTAGTTCATCACAATCTAGTCTACCAGCTAAGAACCAGGGCCCTGAAGTCAGAAGTATTTGGTTGGAATCCTGGCTCTGGCTACATGACTTCAGATGGATTACTCAACTGTGATAAACCTGTTATTTTATCTGTAAAATTAGTATAATAATATTAACCAATATAATTGTTAGGAGGATTAAATATGATGTCTATAAACTGACAGCTCACATTTACTGAATACTTACTATTTCAGACAACAGTGTTTTTATACAACTAAGTATTTTCAAATTATTTTAGCTAAAATTACTGGGACCAACTAATTTTCCACTGGTTCACAGTTTAGTCTTTAACCAAGCCAACGCAATAATAAATTACAAGCATAGTATCATTATATAAATGGAAACATCTTTATATTTTGCTACTTTACATGCAATTTTATATAGAAATTCAGCTGTTACCTGAACAAACCATATCCTAATATCTGCTAATTGGCTGCTAACTTTACTCACAAGGAGTACTTTAATAGGTGGTTGCATATTAGGGAAAGCCATTAAATGCTGCAAATGGTACTGAAATCAACAAAATCATATTAGGATTTGGTAATTTAAACTGCTAATTTAAAAATAAGGTACCAAACACTGTAAATCATTTTTTCACCAACTTTCAGGTAAAGCATAACTCAAAAAGTGATATTTTTCTTCCAGATAAATAAAAATTTAGCATATATTAGACTTTATTAAAAGCAGCTATTATCCTTCCTCTTCACAGACTTGAGACTACTTCCTCTAAATGTGCATTCGCCCAGTGAAAATTACCTGAAATGCTTTTACTATCACTAGTACACTACTGAAAAGCGACCAACTAACAAAGGACATTACGTCAAGCATTCCATAAAAAAGACATACCTTAATAATTCTAAATCTAAATTTAGGGAGCGGGGAAAAATGTTATAGCAGAGTCACAAAAGGGAGAAAATGTAGTTTCATCATTTTCAAAGGAAAAGCAAGTAACAAGGGTTACAATATCTTCAAGAGTTTAAAATAGATACCAGTGTATTTGGCAAAACATTATAAAATATTCTGGTAGTCTCAGTTTAAAATATTTCAGATTCATCTACTTTTAACTATTTGTGTTTCATAAAGTTTTCTACAACTCTAAAAAGTTTCCAGTACTCAACATATTGGATATACTCAACATTTTCTGCCTTAAATGTAAGAAAGAAAACCCCCAAAGAGCCACCAGGCATTCCACAGGAATCTGCCAAAAAATCATAAGAAGCACGCCATGAGGTTAATTCTCAACTGGAATATGTTTTAACATCCTCATCAATGATCAATGACACAACAAAAATCATACTGAGTATGAGGACATGGCTGTATTAGGTTTAAATTCAAAATGAAGCAAATAACCAACTTCTTTTCAAAGAGGTTATAAAGGGTTATGAATAAAGGTTGGTTAGTGGGTGCAAAAATATAGTTTGATAGGAGAAATAAGAGCTAGTGTTTGACAGTACAGAAGGATGACTACAATTAACAATAATGTGTCATTCAAAATAGCTAGAAGAGAAGAACTGGAATGTTCTCAACATAAACAAAAGATATGTTTGAGGTGACGGATATCACAGTTACCTTGATTTAACCATTATAAATTGTATGCAAGTATCAAAATATCACATTTACCCCAAAAATATGTACAATTACATATCAATTAAAAATGAAACAAATAGAATCCAAATGATATATTTTAAAAACTACTATATTAAACAGAAGCTTAAATTAATGATAAAACAGTATAGCTGTGCAAAGCAAAGACTCTGGAATCAAATGGTCATAATTTTAGCTCCAACCTGTTTACCTTTTCCAAGTTGATGACATCACTCAGTTTAGTTTTCTCATAATGTGAATACTTACCTCTTAGAGTTGTTGTAAAGATGAAATGAGAAAATCAAGACAAAGAGCTTAGCCAGAGCACATTTGAAGTACTTAACAGGAAATAACTATTAGCAGAAATAGTGCACATCTGAAGATTCCAACGATTATAATAAATCAAAAGCTAAGCAATCTAGAATTTTTAAGGCAATTATTTTAAATATATAATTTACACATTTAATATTTTCCTAAAGTTATTTGTGAACACATTTAAATGTGTAACTTCACAATTTATATAAAAATTTAAATGTATAACTCTAGTTTGTTATTAAATAATATTGGGATGAATGCTTTATAATAAAAATACTCATCTTTTAACTTATCAGATTTTTAAAATACTGACTCTTTTTATGCTGCTAGAAGGTTTGTCTTTGTTCTGTTGTCAAGCTATAGTAGTAGAACACCATACAATAATTAGGAGGCCTGGATTTTCATCCTTGCTATTAGTACTAGTCGCTTTATTATTTCCATAGGTTATTGGAGAACAGGTGGTGGTTCGTTATATGAATAAGTTGTTTAGTGGTGATTTGTAAGATTTTGGTGCACCCATCACCTGAGCAGTGTACACTGCACCCTATTTGTAGTCCTTTATCTTCCAACCCCACACTTCCCACCCTTCCCCAGTCCCCAAAGTCCACTGTGTCATTCTTAACCCTTTGCACCCTCATAGCTTAGCTCCCACTTAAGAGTGAGAACATACAATGCTTGGTTTTCCATTCCTGAGTTACTTCATTTAAAATAATAGTCTCCAATCTCATCCAGATTGCTGTGAATGTCATTAATTCATTATTTTTATGGCTAAGTAATATTCCATCATATATAGATTTAATCATTATAAATTGATATAATCATTATAAATTGTATGCAAATATATATATCACAGTTTCTTTATCCACTCATTGATTGATGGCATTTGAGTTGGTTCCGCGTTTTTGTGATTGCAAATTGTGCTGCTATAAACATGTGTGAGCAAGTATCTTCTTCATATAATGACTTCTTTTCCTCTGGGTAGATACCCAGTAGTGGGATTGCTGGATCAAATGGTAGCTAGCTCTACTTTTATTCTTTAAGGAATCTCCACACTGTTTTCCATAGCAGTTGTACTAGTTTACATTCCCACTAGCAATGTAGAAGTGTTCCCTGTTCACCACATCCACGCCAACATCAACTATTTTTTTATTTTATTTTTTTATTACGGCCATTCTTGCAGTATTAAGTTGGTATCGCATTGTGGTTTTGACTTGCATTTCCCTCATTCTTAGTGATATTGAGCATTTTTTCATGTTTGTTGGCCATTTGTATATTTTCTTTTGAGAACTGTCTATTCATGTTCTTAGCCCACTTTTTGATAGGGTTGTTTTTTTCTTGCACCTTATGTGAACTAAAACCCCACTAGGTTCCAAATTTCCTTAATATGAGAGTGTTGGCAAAACTACAAAGGCAATATTCCTATTTTCCTTAGCACTGGTCAAAGGCTTTCTGAACTACTGTGTCCAGTTCTAAGACTCATAAGAGAAAATTTCAATAACTAGAATTTTAGTAATGAGGGTGGGGGATATCTTTAAGCCTATTCACATATGCAGATGTGGAAACTCTTAGACTTAGGGTAAGTTTTGCTTTTTATAATTGTGAAAAAAATTATACTATAGTATAATTTCATATTACAGTACTATAGTTAAGGCACAGGGATATATTCTCAGGTGAATTTCTATTGTTTTCAGTTCTGTATTTTTTTAACTTATTTGAATGTATTTTCTTTAAATAACCAAAATAATGAACACATCTCTTCCTTCTACTTTCAAAATTTTCTGAAGGCCATATTCACTGTATCTTCTATTCATATTCACTCATACTAAGCTGCTCCAAATTTAGCTTCTACCCTATTTCTCTACTAAAATTGACTCTGGTCAATGTCTTTTTATTGATAAAAATGACTCTATAACCTCTTCCTTCCTACAGAGGCAAAGCTTTTTGA